TTTAAAATAGACATTTCACGGGAAGAGTGTCGGTCTCCTTGACTAAAAAATCCGGAATGGCACTTTTAATACTTCATAGAGCCCACTGGTTGAAAAATTGTGAACTAGTAAATACTATCGTAGCAGGTACAAAGTGGGGGGAATGTGCTAAAAATGCTAGAAAGCCAAATAAAGCAGGTGACGTGAGATGCTTTTTTAGACTGAGTCATTAGGGCAGCCTCTTGGGAGGTGACATTTGAGTAGAGACCACTCTGTATCATGTGGAGAGAGAAGAGCAAAAGCAAAGACCGAGGTTGGGAGCTGTCACTGCCTCCCTGTGCTCCATTCAAATGAGTGCCTCATCCTAAATTTAATCTAATTTGTTACCCATTTGTAATAATGTGATTTATAGTAAGAAATGCATATTTGGTCTTTGCCCCCATTTCTAGTACAGAGTTTCTAAAACCTTTGAAAATTTCCTTGGTGAGAGAGAGAATGTCACATGTTATATTCATGAGGTAGCTTTTGGAAAACCCTTAGGTCATCTAACAAAGTAAGCTGGTTGTCAGGGGAACCAACCCTGATTGGAGGGTTGGAACTTTAAGACCCATTCTCCTGGCTTCTGGGAGTGAAGAGGGTTTGGAGGTTGACTCTGTTGCCAATGGCCAATGATTTAACCGGTCATACCTGTGTACTAACCCAACAGGATGGTGTTCAGAGAGCTTCTGGGAAGCTCTTCACCCGACCCACATACATGCCCCACATGTCGCTTCAACTGGATGCTCATCTGTATTTTTTATCATATTTTAAAAGATAATATACCAGTAATCTAGTAAATAAAATGTTTCTCTGAGTTCTGTGAGCTTTTCTAGCAAATTAATTGAACCTGAGGAGGAGTTCAAGGAAATTTCTGGTTTATAGCCAGTCAGTCAGAAGCATAGGTAACAATACAACTGGTGTCTGAGGCCCAAGGCAGTGGTTATTGGAGCCTCCAACCTAAAGCAGGTTGGGCTGGAGCACCAGTGACAACCTGGACTTGTGTGACTGGGGTCTGAAGTGGGTGGGGAGGGCAGGCTGGTAGGACTGAGCCTTTACCCTGTGGAACCCAACGCTAACTCTGGGCAGATAGTGTCAGCATGGAGTTAAATTGTAGGACACCCAGCTGGTGTCTGAGAATTGCTCCTTGTTTGCGGGAGTGGCCCCTCTCCAATGTTGGGATTGGGGCCAGGAACCCAAACGACCACTGTTCTTCAGGCCACTGGGGTTGTCACTTTACTTATGATGCTGTTTTACTTCAATAATCTTGTGATTAACGCGCTGCCATGGTCTCACTGGGAGCAGAGAGCCCTTGGAGGTTTAAGCAGTTAAGTAGCTGATGGTGGAGCAAGTGGGCAGAGATTGGAGTTGAGCCTGCGAAGTCCCCTCCTCCTTTTAGGTGGGCATGGAGCTCACTGACCAGGTGGGTCCCTACAGAGTCTACATTGTTTTTTTTTAAGCTCCTTTCAGCTTCCGTGAAAGTGTTTTCAGGGTAAACAAAGGTTACTTATAGGACTCCAGACACTTGGAAAAGAAATGCTTCTTAGAGTGGAGTGCGTTCTAAAAGGAGTGTTGTCAGAGTTGGAAAGGCAATCTCTAAATCTAGCCC